TCATTACACAACCAGGCAGCTGAAAAAGCATTATTTACATGCCCTCCTTGCACACTCCTGCTGGCTTCAGCAATGTCAATTAACTCGCAGCAAGCTAAGATAAGAGTTCTGCCTTTAGGGGAAAAGCTTTCCTGTAAGCAAAACTGTGTCTTGGAGCCCTATTTCACATAGAGCCCTAATGAATTCCCAATGCATCTTCACCCTGCGCTGCTGCTTCCCTCTTTACATGCGCTCTCCCAAGGGGGCCCCAAGCCTACAGATCACACCGAGGTTGTGCATGACAGGGGACCTCACCTGTAAGACAGCACAACTGGGTGGAGATTGTTCCCACCTCCCTGCTGGGGAGAAGCTGCAGCTTATTTCTAGGGCCCTTCCTGAGAGAGCCGGCTCGCAGGATCGCTCGAGCTGGCTGTTGCGGAGGCAAGGACAAACGCCGCGGGATGCTCAGCCTTTAGGGAATGGCCCCAAACCGTGAATCCCTCCCACCTGCAGCCACCAGGGCTGCCCCAGGGCAGTGCCCGGGAGCAGGAGGGCCCCATCTCTCCACCGCTTTAAACGGAGTCAGATGGGTAGGAATTAGGATTCCAAAATCCCCTTTTCCATTTGCAACCGACCAAACACTGAAGCACCTGAGCAGACACCCAGCTTCCCGGCACCAGAGGAGAAAGACTCAAGTTCAGTCACTTACCTTTTCTTGTCTTTGTCCTTCTTCAGCGGCTGCTGTGAGGTAGCCTGCAAGGATTGGGACTGCAAGGTTTCCACCGCTACTTTCCGCCTGTTGAAGGCATTCATCTCTTCCTCCAGCTCCCTCCTCTTCTCCTCCACCTTCCTTTTCTCTTCCTGGTGTATCCTTTTTAAGTGCTCAAACTTCTCATGCAGCTGGGAGGAGACAGACCCTCTGAGCATCGCATCCAGCAGGACCGTCAGGCCGTGCCTTACCCCCAGCGCCCCAGCACGAATCCCCACCACCTCAGAGACCGACCGGCCGGTGGGGCCACCGCCCCCGCGCCCTGCAAGGCCCTCGGCAGAGCTGACTTTTGGGCAACAGCAGCCTCTTCGCCAAAATCAGCAAAGAGACAAGAAATTCAGCTCTGCTGGACCCCACGGCTCAAACGGGAGAAAGCGCGAGCCCTGGCGAAGCCTGAGGATCTGCCAGGGGGCTGTGGGCAGGGCGGGCTCTTTCGTTCCTCACTCGTTTTGAAGATGATCCATTTATTTCCTCCCCAGGCTACTGACCCAGGGGACTCCAGCCCAGCTGCCCCCTTTTCTCTTCTGTCCAGGGGTGAAGTCAGCCCGACATGGATGCTCACCAAAATGTCCTGCATTGCCCTTCGCTCACCAGGCAGCAGCTGAGTCTCCTACACACCGCACAGGACAGGGAAGACTCTTGTTTCTGAGCGACCTAAACCAGTGATGCTGTTTTGGAAACATTCCCCTGTGTCCCCTTCTCTGCGTGGGGAAGGTGTGTGTGTGTGTTTGTGCTGTGGCTGGTGAGGTCTGCTCAAGAGCTGCATGTGCTTTCCAGGACTCGTATGTTGCCCAGACCCAGACCCTAGGCTGGCTCTATTTCGGGCTCCTCTCGCAGGTTTTTTGGCACACCCACCTCTCTCTCCTTCTCCTTCAGCTCTGCCTCTGTCTCCTTGACTTTGTTAACAAACATTTGTCTCATCTCTTCCTCTTTCTTCTGGAGCTCGCCCAAGAACTCTTTCCTTTTGGTCTCATATGTTTCTTGGAGGCTGGGGAAGAAAGCAAATGAAATCCAGACTCTTTGGACACCAATGAGCTAGGGATGGGGAAACGCACGCCTCTCTGCCTTGCTTAAAGACAAACAGGCAGGGAAGGGAACGCCACCAAAGTCAGCTGCGAAGTTCAAACCCAGGGCTAGTATCTTCCAGCCCGGCATTGTGGATACCATCTACAAACGTTCCATTTTTTAGGGCATTGGTACCAAACTATTGCTCTAAATTGATGCTAGACGTGAAGGCCCCTCACCTGAAGGGCTGGCTGTCCGGATCCGTGTCCTTGAAGCCCATCTCTTCCAGTTTGCACCTCCTGTAGAGCTCATAGTGGCGGGTGTGAGTCTGCTCCCGAAGATCCTCCATGTTGACTCGAATCAGCATTTCCCGCAGTTTCACAAAGTCGCAGTGACTTTCATTCTCCACTGACGGAAGCAAAGGGAGAAGTCAGCAAACCGCACACGTGGCGGGGGAGCACGAATGCCCTTACAGACTATTAACTCCAGAGACTCCCTTCCCAAGGACCTCTACCTGTTGTCCCACACGGGGCACCACGTAGCCCCTTGAATGCAGGGATTCTTGTTGACTATTCCTACCTGCTGGGGAGGAATGGGAAACAAAAGGAAAGACTGGCCAACCCCCAAAAGGCTGCACAGGGCATCTCTGCACCGTTTAGCACGGGGCACCTTCATGTCCGCACGCTGGCGGGAGGGCCGAGCTGCAGAAGGTGCCAGCGGGGGGCACGTGCCTACCCCAGGGAGGTTTGCGGTGGGCGCCCGGCTCGCAGCACCTTACCTTGCACCACTCCCCACGGGTACTGCCGGGCTCTCACTAGCTTGTTCCCAACTTTCACCTCCTCCGTGCTGCCAACCACAGCGAAGGGCAGATGGGCCTGAAACAGAGGCAGGCCAGGGACTCAGTGCATGGGCTAACCCCTCGGAGATGACCATCAGATCCCCCTCACCCAGGCACAGGATCTACTTTGAAAAGCCCTTCCTCTGAAGCCATCAATCTCCAACACTCAGAGCAGTCTCTACTATGAAGAGAGCAGCGTAGGGCCACAGCACAGCTTACCAGCAGCGCTGCTGGACTGAACTAGGTGGGGAAATACTGTAGGAACACCACGATCACTACGGATTTCCCTCTAGCCCTTTCCTCGGGTTGTCCTTGCAGCCATAGGCTTCCCACACGCCAAGAGCAGGGCACTCCCCGCCCAGCAGAAAGCACCAGTGAAGACGTCTGTGCACAGGCCTTGGCAGAGCAGTTGGTGTGTGGGCACGGGGAAGGGACACGTGCAGGACACAGCGGGTGCTCGGGGCTCGCCGAGTCTGCCAAGCGCCGTGAGGAAAGAGGGCACCGTCCGCAGGAAAGGAGCCACGGGGCAGGCGCTTCAGTAGGGCGAGGCTGACAAAATCCTTCACGTTTAAGAAGAAATGGATCCAGAGGTGAGGAACTGGTAGAGAAGTGGCCAAAAATATGTTTGGGG